GGTCACTAATTAGAAGTACAAAACGAGGATTTGTAAAGAAGAATGTCGGAGGATTTCGATATAAGCCAAGAGGAGACTGGTTTTCCTTTGCTAAAGTAAGGAAACTTTGGTTTTCACGAGACTCACCGGCGCATGCGCAACGCCGACCTCATACGTCATGCTCCCGGAACTGCTTCCGTGTACAACGCAAGCTACAAGCTAGATTCAAGTGATTATTACGTTTTGAATATGGATATTTTTCTTACAAAAACGCAGCTACAGGAGACAGGAGTTCTTTGTTCACCCCCCGGAGCCGTGTGAGACGCTTTTATTTTAATGGATGGTCGCTTTTTATTTAACTTCTTTTGGACTGATGCATGCAACACCCGCTGAGTGGCATTAAACAGCTTGAAAGAAGAAAGTCATATACACCTAGGATGCATCGGGGGTGAGTAAAACACAGCATAATTTTCATTTTTGGGTGAACTAACCCTTTAAATTAAATAATTTTATATATGCGGATTTATTAATTAATGTGTAATGTTATATTTTTTAAACAAATTAATGAGCTCTAAAAGATCTTCAGGATTTTTACAACTCTTTTGCTTTAGACCAGGGGTGCCCAACCCTGCTCCTGGCGATGGACTGTCCTGCAAAGTTCAGCAGGGTTGGGCACCCCTGCTTTAGACCATTTACAAACGTTAAACCATAAAATAAAATGTTAAGGTTACCACTGCATCTTTCTGAAAAAAAAAAAAAAAATGCAGTGATTAATATATAGTTTATTTATAGTTATTTTCAAATATTCAATGTACTGTAATTATAAAATAACTTTTTGTTTTTGTTTATTGTTTATTTAATTCTAACATAAGTTCTTGTTAAAACTAACCAATATTAAAATAATTATATATCGGTATCGGCCAAAATGAGTTGAAAATTATCGGATATCGGCAAAAATCCAATATCGTGCATGCATAATATAAGTTGTTCTTAAATATTTTTTAGTTTCTGTTTTAAATAAATACATCAAGTATGGTTTTCACCATAAAAAAACAAAGCCTCCATGATCTTGTAGTAACAGTGGATTGATGTGTGTCTTAGGTCTTCACGGGACCGTGATCGCGAGAGGGAGAGCAAGCGCAGCTCGTCCGAGCGGAGATCAGACGGACTGAACGGGAGGACGGAGTCTCGCCGTCATGATGACAGAGAGGCTGGAGAGATCTGAATCATCTCACTCTACCACAACAAACACGCACAGCGCGCTCTCATACATATACCCACTTTTTTATTTATCATGTTTGCTTGGTCCGTAGTAAACTGCCCACGCCCTGTTTCATTACAGTCGTTGTAGTCTTTAATATCTCAGTCCAGTGAGACTTAAACCTGTCGGATTCACTGTCAAATGTTGAAATGACAATATTGTGTGTGTGGAGTGAAGGTTTTTTTGCCCCTCCATAATGTCTGTTATTTTTTGGGATTTGGGTTTGTCCTGAGTGGATGTGTGCATGTTTAGCTGAAAGCTGTTCTGAGGTCAGTCTAAACGCCCTTTCTTTAAATATATCTGCAGTATTTCCCCCTAGAGACCGAGAGTGACTCTCTTTGTATCAGCAGCAGAGGCGTAGGAGTTGAATAAATCTAAACAAGTGAATCCGTCATGGCATATTGTTTGATTTACTCTGTACATGATCTTTTATAAGGCTGTTTTGATTTCATGTTGCCCTTAACAAAGTACATTAAATGGTTTTATGACTTTAAATGGTGTTTGTCATTAATGAAGGAAATTATACGTCCTCAGTTTATTAGTTGGATAAGTCACTTTAACGGGTCAGTCTCTTTTTACTAAAGCTGAATGCCTGAGTATTGTAATATTGAAGCTGTTTTATTTATTTCTTTAGCCTGTAAATTTAATACAAAATAAACGTTTAGAAATATTTTACAACATATTTTTGGCAGAGTTACAGCGTTTTGGAAAATTGTTCTTTCTTTTTTGCTGCAATTAATTGAATATGAAATAGGGATTTTATACATTTAAAAATGTTACGCTTTCATGTTAGATTGCAGTTGATCAAACAGATCTAATGTGTCTTAAAGGTTTTTTTCAGTTTATGTGAAGGATGCATTTCACCACTGCTTTTTTAAATTCATGATCAAAATCATTAGTTATTGTGTATTAAAATGAACTTAAAGATAAAACAATAGAACAAATTTTTTTATTTTTTTATTATATCACTAGTGTTACGTTTCTGTACGTCGCCGACAGCTGGCGTCATTACGCTGGCCACGGGCTGTAGATCGTCACCTCCGGCAACGTCACCGTGACGGCTCAGTCAAAACAACCGAAACATGATGCTAGCGTCTCACACCCGCGAGTGAAATGTCGTGTTTTTAGCGCTCGCCGATGAAAACGTCGGAGATTTGTCACCCTAATGTCATGATCTTGTCGGACTATGAGTTTGGCAGCGTTTTATTCGGAATAAGGGATCGAAAAGTGATCATAAAAGCACCAGCGTCGCGACCGGTTTGCTAACGACAGGCGTCTTTTCAGCACTTAAACCCGGTACGCGTGAAATTATGCATATTTTACTTCTAAAATATGGAATATAAAGTCAAATGGGCTGCGTTAAACTAATTAAGCCGCCTGTAGACGTACAGATGTGTCAGTCACGTGTCATTCTACAGAGTTTGTCTACTAATCACCATGTAATTAGTTCTTCTCGATTTTAATAATTCAATCTCGGTTTTGCTCAAATGATATGAGTTGTATGTTCACTATACTGCTGGAGGAGTTTGAATCATCTGCCACAGCTGTCCAGGGCTGATCAGAGTCCAGATGTGTGTGTTATGTGCATTCTGTAGGCTATAGATGTATGTAGTGTAGTCCTGATGTGTGTAATGTGTATCATTGAATGTAAATTGATATGTGTGTGTTTGGTGTGTCCCTGCAGTGTGAGAGGTTTGCAGGTATCTGGGGTCCCCGGGACAGGCCGGTGCTCACCGAAGAGACGGGGAACAGGATCGGTAAGCAGGGGGGAGCGGCCACCGCAGAGCCCGTGGAGAAGATGGCGAGCAGCCCAGAGAAAAGCTCCTCCGCACAGGAGCTCAAGGAGCAGGGCAACCGCCTGTTCCTCAGCCGCAAGTACCAGGAGGCCGCCACCAGCTACAGCAAGGCCATTGTGAGTGGAGCAGGAGTTTGTCAGTTTAGAGGAAATTTACAAGCACAATGAGAGAAAACAATCGTACTGACACCAAACTGTTGACATTTTTATGCACATTTGATAGAGAAAAAAAATCTTACTGACATCGAACTTTTGAAACTTATATGCACATTTGATAGACAAAAAAAAAAAATCGTACTGACACCAAACTGTTGAAATTTATATGCACATTTGATAGAGAAAAAAAATCTTATTGACATAAAACTGTTGAAATTTTTATGCACATTTGATAGAAAAGAAATCGTACTGACATCGAACTTTTGAAAATGTGAAAAAAATTAGAATCTTTTGAAAATTTTAACAGTTGTGATTAGTGATGCTGTATTATGTTGAATATCAAAGTTTATTTGTGTATGTTTGTTAATGAGGAATTTGTGGACACATCAGTGTTTTTAGATTTGTGGAGTAAAAATTATTAATTTATTATAATTTATAACAATTATTTTAAATGATAAAATTCATCCTGTGGGGTAAGATGGCACAGCAGAATTGGCACAGAAGGCCTCAAGTGGCATTTTGTTACTAGTGATATTACTTTTTTAAATGTAATACTTATTGTAATTAATAGGGTTATTATTCAATATTTCTATGAATTAGATTTGCATTTCAAACACATTTGCTTTGCACTAAAGCCTAGGCTAATTAAATCAAATCATTTAATTTGAATATGTAAATATTAATTTCCCTGTATTTAAGTCATAGACTAAATTTACCTTTCAGAAGAACTTTTTTTACTGGGATTCTGCTTTAACTTCATTTTAAACTACAGTTTTAGTAGGTTTATAAGCTGTTTAATAGCTACAAACAGAATAAGTCAAGAATAATTCACTGGATAATGTTAATTCACTGAATAATATTCTATGGAATATTGGAATATAATAAACAAAAAATCGTATTTTATTGCATTTCTCAACTGGAATGTTATATTAGAATTATTAATAATGTTTTTGTCCTTCTAGATTATGAAATGCCTGCTGACAACATGGTTTATCTATGCAGTTACACAGAACTATACTCAAACTGCGATCGCTCGTGGAGATAATAAATAATTAATTTCCATAGAGTTGTATTTATTTAGATGTTTATTAGCGAAATATTGGTTATATAGTAAATGTTAATACAATTTAGGGTGTTTTAAACAAGTGAATCTTGTTAAAAGTTACATGCGGTGGCCGTGCTGGGGCATTTCCTGAGCATTAACCCAGTGAGTGAACAGCAATATGAAAGCGGCTTCACGAGACTAATGATGAGCAAATATACAACAGAGAGAGAATTAAAGTCAGCGCTTTTATTTCCAACATGCGCTCATTCATGGCTGCATGCTATTTAATTCAGGCAAAGTTACGTCTTTATTGGGACAGGACTTGACGGATTATCTTATGTGACTCCGTGAGTTGGTCTCTATTTCTTAGAGCCAAGCAGCATAAACTAAATATCAGGCATTTATATAATGCATCTAATTTGTGCATAAATGGCTGTTATGTTAAATAAAGTTTACTAACTATAGCAACTATATCAAGTACCTGCACGCCGTTGTTGTTGTTGTCTCGTTTCCCCTCAGACGCGCTGCAATGGCGATCCTGCGCGCAATTCTCAAAACGCCCACAAGATGGCGGCATTTATCGGTGAATCCGATATTACAAAACCGATATCCGATTATGGTAAAATTCTTAAATATCGGGGAAAATATCGGTTAATCGATATATCGGTTGATCTCTAATATATATATATAATAAAGCAAGAATGTATTAAATTGATCAAAAGTGACACTAAAAACATTTATAATGTTACAAAAGATTTCAAATAAATGCTGTTGGCTTTATTTTCACCAAAGAATGCTAATAGATGCATCACAGTTTTCAGAAAAATATGAAGCAGCACAACTGTGCTCAGAGTTCATATAATATTTACATGCATGTTTGTCATTCAGTAATGCATTTAACTGATCAAGTGGAGATCGTCTGGATATTCTTAAAAAACCCACGTAATTTTTCTAGGAATGATCAGAGTTGTGCTGTTGTACTGAAGATGTTTCTGCTGTGCTGTGTGTAGAATCGTAACCCGTCAGTGGCCGTGTACTACACTAACAGAGCGCTATGCTACGTGAAGCTGCAGCAGTACGACAAGGCTCTGGCCGACTGTAAACACGCCCTCGAGCTCGACAGCCAATCGGTGAAGGCCCACTTTTTCCTGGGACAGTGTCAGCTGGAGCTGGAGAATTATGAAGAGGCCATCGGCAATCTACAGAGAGGTACACACAGAATTTTTATGAAATTTGAAAAAAAAAAAAAAGATTTAAGAAATAAGTTACACATTTAAATTAGAATTTTTAAAAATGTTTTTTTTATATGCTTTGAATAGGATATTTCACCCAAAAATGTAAATTCTGTCATCATATACTCGTCCTCGTTGTTTTAAACCTAACTTTTTCTTTTGTTAAACACAAATGTAATTATTTTTTTTAATTAATGGCACTCTCTCGCTCTCTCTTTGTCTCTCTCTATTTTCAGTATATATAGATAGATAGATGGATAATGCATATATTAAATGCATATATTTAAAGATAAAAAACTATCTTTCTGTGTATATTTACACAGTACTTGTCAAAAGTTTGGAAACATTACTATTTCAAATGTTATTAATGAAGTCTCTTCTGCTCGCCAAGGCTCAAAAATACAGTAAAACCAGTAATATTGTGAATTATGATTATTATAATTTAAAATAACTCTTATGTGTGAATATATTGTAAACTGTAATTTATTCCTGTGATGCGCAGCTGTATTTTCAGCATCATTACTCCAGTCTTCAGTGTCACATGATCTTCAGAAATCATTCTAATATGCTGATTTGCTGCTCAAGAAACATTTCTGATTATTATCAATGTTGAAAACAGTTGTGCAGCTTCATATTTGATCAGAAACCATGATATAATATCATTCAAATGCTGTGTGTGTGTTTTTTAAATAGAAATGCATTAAATTGATCAAAAGTGACAGTAAAAACATTTAATGTTACAAAATATTCTATTTCAAATATGTTCTTTTTATTCATCAAAGAATCCTGAAAAATTATTAAACAGCAAAAACTGATTTTAACAGAGATAATAAGAAGAACCATTATTAATAATTGAACAGCAAATCAGCATATTGCTTTCTGCAGCAGTTTTCTGTTGTATGTGATGTTTGGTGTCATTTGAAGCACATTTTCAGGTTTTGTTATTTATAATGTAACTCAGTCTCTAATAATGTACATTTGCATCCAATATATTGATTATTGAGCTAATAATATAAATAATTATCCATCATCAGCATCGGTGCATCCCTAAAAAGCATCATAGAAATGATCCAGACGTCTAAACAGACATCAGATAGTTGCAGTGTGATGAAGTCGCTCTTTGAAATGCTTTTCAGCTTATAACCTGGCGAAGGAACAGCGGCTGAATTTCGGAGACGATATCCCAAGTGCTCTTCGCATTGCCAAGAAGAAACGCTGGAACAGCATAGAAGAGAAGCGAATCAGCCAAGAAAACGAGCTGCACGCTTATCTCAGCAAACTCATCCTGGCCGAGAAAGAGAGGTGACGCTCACATCAGTCAGTCATGCGGATCTGCGTTTAGAGATCTGTGCTGTAACACCTGTCCGTCTCTGTGTTTGTGGGTGTTTTTCTCAGAGAGCTAGACGACAGAGTGAAGCAGTCAGAGGACAGTCAGAACGGCGGCAAGATCAAATCCAAACACGTGAGACACGCATTTAAATACACACACAGCTCTGAACGGTGGGCGTTTGAGGAAGTGATGTCATTTCCTGTGCTCTGTGCTGCTCCTGCAGGATAAATATTTGATGGACATGGACGAGCTTTTCTCTCAAGTAGATGAAACGAGGAAGGTATGCATCTCAAGACTTCGTGATGAACGTCTCTCACACTAAAATATGATTGGTCCAGATAACTGTGCATTGAGCGTCAGTGTGTTTGATCGGCTGTTGTGCAGAAGCGAGAGATCCCAGATTACCTGTGTGGGAAGATCAGTTTTGAGCTGATGAGAGAACCCTGCATTACTCCTAGCGGCATCACCTACGATCGCAAGGACATCGAGGAGCATCTACAGGTAACATCGCATTCACGTTCCCCTGCATCTCAGCGGCGGCTGTTTGATTTGTGCAAGAATTCGGACGATTTTGAGGCGCTCAGATTGCTGCCAGGTTTTTTTCATGAGACTTCTCACTTTAGAGGCACAGGAGAATGGCGCCATGATTGGCTGAAAAATTACACATTGGCGGATCAGATTACGGCAGTGTTTTTTTAATTGTTATTATTATTAAATACATTATAGTGTTTTTTTAGTATATATTTTTTTTTTGTCATTTTTATTTTTGATGTATTTTTTTATTATTTATTTATTTTTATTTCATTTTTTTATTTCTCTTTAGTTTTAGTAACTTTAATACAAGGCATCGTTTGTCTTTTTCATCTAATTTTCTTTTAGTTTTATTTCAATGATCATGTTTTAATACTGTATTGACCCGAATATAAGACGATGCTTTTTTTCTTGGAAATACATCTGAAAAAACGCGGTCGTTTTATATTCACAAAAATATTCTTTCTCTCTCTCTCTCTCTGTAGCGTGTTGGCCATTTTGACCCAGTCACTCGCAGCCCGCTGACCCAAGATCAGCTGATCCCCAATCTGGCCATGAAGGAGGTGATCGATGCTTTCATCCAGGAGAACGGATGGGTGGAGGACTACTGAACACACACACACACACACACACACACTCGAGCGGGCCGCAGCAGTTTCCTCACGGCCAATCGAATCCTCTCCTGTATGTTCATGCACTTTAATCAGTGGAGCTTTGCTGTGGAGAATCTGACCCGCAGCAATCACCTGACCCTCTTTCTCACCGTCTGTCTTTCTGTCTGTCCTTCAAACTCTTTCTGCTGTCTTTCCTTACCAGACAGAATAATCAGCCCGTCCTGCAGGTTCTGTTCGGACACTTGTTTTCAATCGGAAACACTGGCTGATGTTTGCTGCACATGATGATGCTGTAATTTTTTCATTGAATGTTCAAATAGCAACATTATTGATGACACATCACTAATAATGATTCATGAAAGAGGAAACTTGCGCAGGTTGGCGTGTATGTGTGTGTTTTAGAATCTGTCACCTATAAGATCTATATGCAGAATGAATGCGATATATGCGAGTGTAATAAGTTCTAACATAAGTAGAATGTTTGTAAGATGCTTCTCGAGCTTTGGGTTCTAGCAGGATGGCGGTTTTTGTAACGAGCGTTAAAACATATATTTAGACATTCATCCATCTCCTGGCTGCCAATCACTGAAAATGAACTGAGAATCTGTGGCATGCAGATAACATCATCATCATCGTTATGGTGTATGATACGTTTAGTCTCACAATGTGTGCTTTAGAACTAGAGGTAAGTGATTATTTCACACTATTGATTTAGTCTTTCCCTTTGGACCTTTGGGGAGTTTTCTGTTTCCTGTCATGAGCACACACTTCCTGTTTAGTATCAGTATTTTTCAGAGAGCCCTTGTTAGTCGCTGGACATCACAGTTCCCGAACTGTCCATCCGGCTCGGTTCAAATATTCCCCAAGTGTAATGGGTTTAGGTTGGATGCATGTTTAATAAATGTTATTTTGTTTCTTTTTGTAACAAATTGGTTGAGATGAGTCTTATTCTTTCTGATAAAGTTACAGTTGCGACCCACTGTTCACTACTCACTGCTGTGTGTCTGTGTTCACTACTCACTGCTGTTTGTGTGTGTGTGTGTGTGTTCACTACTCACTGCTGACTAAGGTCTGTCTCCAGAATCACACCAAGATTCCTGACTTGATTTTTAGTTGCTAGACCCCTAGAGTCAAGGTATGCATTCACCTTGACAACTTCATCTTTGTTTCCAAATGCAATGACTTCAGTTTTTTCCTTCCTAGTTGGAAGTTCTGGCACATCCAACTAGTTTCATCAATGCATTGGCAGAGGGAGTCAATGGGGCTGTAGTCATTTGGTGATAAGGCTAGGTAAATCTGGGTATCATCAGCATAGCCATTACATTACAAATGTTAGGTAATATAATCAGACTACTTTTAGATTACTTTTGACCTAACTCGTTTATCACATTGATTTAAATATGATAATCTTGTACCATATGGATATAAAAATGCAAATAAAAAGAAAATATATTCCATTTTATTTGTTTACCATTTGTCTGTTTACATTTTATTTTATTTAACATTAATATATGAAGTAAATATATATTAGGTGAAAGAAGTTCTGCTGACAAAAAAAGTTTGGGAATCCTCGCATTACATGTAAATAAGAAACAACGTGAATTTGTGCATTTTAACATGTTTGAAAGAGAAAAGCCTTCCAAAGACAATACATGGTAAAATAACCAGTGATAATTCAAATAAAAATTAATGTGTTCATCAGTAGTTGATGCAATGGTGACATGCTGAGAAAACACTTATTAAAACTGAATGTGTAAAAATCGTATATAGCACCTTTACAGAGACAGTTCACCCAAAAATGTAAATTGTCATCATTTACTAACCCTCATGCCGTTTCAAACATGTATGATTTTCATTTTTGTGAAAACACAAAATAATCGTTTTTTCAAATGTCTTCATTTTTGTTTGATTTAAATGCAGGGTGAATATGTGGTGCAGATGGGTCAGTGACCAACAGGGGGCAGCAAGAGACAATCTAGGAACAAAGAACATAAAAGATCATGATTTTTGAGAATGAAAACACAACGCTGCTACACAATGACTTTACTATATGACATTAAAATGAGATATGAGTGTACTATAATGTACAAAATAAATAAAAAAAACGTGCTATTATTGTCTATTTGATTTGATATTAGTTTATACACTCTGAATCTGAGCATAGTTGAGTCAAACCCGTCTGTCACAGGACAGATCCCAGTCTAATAGAGCTGATTTGACTCCTGACTCAGTGTGGAGTTCATGTGTAGTTGCTGTGTTTGGTCTCTGTGTGTCAGTAGTGAGTGATGGTGTTTGAGCAGCTGCAGCATCAGTTCAGTCACTGTGAGGTTTTTGTACCACTCTTTATCACTGTGTGAACACACAACTACTAGGACAGTGTACACTCTGACAGTAATAATGTCCAGCATCTTCAGTCTGGACTCCACTGATGGTCAGAGTGAAATCACTGTGAGATCCACTGCCACTGAATCTAGATGGAGTTCCTGACTGACGGCTGCTTGCCAAATAAATCAGGAGTTTAGGAGCTTCTCCAGGTTTCTGTAAGTACCAGGCTAAACGCTGCCCCGAACTAGTACTGTACACATCTGTGCTGGTTTTACAGCTGATCTTCACTGTTTGTTCTGGTTGAGCTGCTGTCGTTGAGGGACTCTGAGTGACGCTGATCTGTCCTCTACTCTCTGAAACACACAAGAAGAAAATCAACTCAAAACTTTCACAATATACTTGAAGAGATGAATTGATATCAAACTTGTGCTGCACAAACCTTGAGCAAACGCTGTGAGAGTCCAGATGAAGATGATGATGAAGGTCATGTTGATGAAGATTGTTGTGTGTGTCAGTGATGAAGTGTTCAACTCACAGCACTATAAACACTCTCAGAGCACTGAAGCATCTGATCAATATGCAAACACACTCCAGATCATTTACCTCAAGACAGTCACTCATTAACAGACACAAAATAGAGTTACTGAAGTGAGAACAGAGTAAAAATTAATAATTTTCATAATAATTGATCTTCTAATGGACAAACTTATAAATTGCATCATATCATTCAATTGAATAAATTTAAGACCAACATTAGTATGTTAACCTGACTCTCTCATATTAGACTTTGAGATGATTTTTTACTGTATTTGGATGAAAACCACTGTTAATTCCCAAATTTTATATTAAATCCATGGATGTTCCTGCAGGCTTGAGGATCATCACACACGTGTCTCTGTCAGTCACTGAGTTTGATTAGGAGTCGCGTCACACATGATATAAAACACCTTCACTCTTTATAAATCTTTATAAAAGAAATGTAAATATGGTGATATGCGTATATTTTTTTAATGGTTAACTGCAACTGTTGGGAAATCTGGTCTTTCATTTGAAAATTAATGTTTATATCATTGTTAATTCTTTCCTGCATGAATATTTATATAAATTATATTCATTATCATTTGCTCTGAAATTGAGAAACATGTTTATATGATGCTGTTAATATCTGCATTATGAGGCATTTGCTTAAATCAATGGACTTATTAAGTTGATCAAGCATTTATGATGCTGATGATGCAGTTTAAGGAAGATTGAGGATAAATCATAAATGCAGAAACTCAAAAATATGTTGAAGGATGGAAAAATATCCACTGAAGATCAAAAGTGACTGAATTTCTACATAAAGGACTGAAAATATTAGGAGACAAAAATAACTTCAGAAAAATCATAATCAAAAATAAATGATGAAGCTCAACAAAACTGATGTTGTTAGATAATATTGATTTGTTTTTTCACTGTTGAGTGAGTGATAGTGTTTGAGCAGCTGCAGCATCAGTTCAGTCACTGTGACTCTGACTGCCGGAGGTTTTTGTACCACTCTTTATCACTGTGTGAACACACCACCACTGTGGTAACTCTGACAGTAATAATGTCCAGCATCTTCAGTCTGGACTCCACTGATGGTCAGAGTGAAATCAGTTCCACCTTCTGCTCCATTCCCACTGAATCGACTGAAACTCTCATCATAGAGATCGTTTACCAGATAAATTATGAGTTTAGGAGTTTCTCCAGGTTTCTGCTGATACCAAGCTAAACCCCAGCTATCTATTCCAGCATCAGTTTTACACTCTATAGTGGCGTCTTGTCCTTCAGAAACAGTCACAGCTTCAGGCTGAGTCACAGTGATTCCTCTGGATGCTGCTGACAACAACATTATATGTGTTCAATCAAATGAAATGAACATTAAAGAGTCAAAAATGAGCATCTTTCACTTCTGTTACCTGGAATAAAAGCTGCCAGAATCCAGATGAAGCTGCTGAAGAGATTCATTGTGTTTGTTGGTTTTGTACCGTGGTAAACAGCAGTGTGTTATAAAGTGTTGGAGTCTGAACGCTATAAACACTCGGAGCGCTGAAGCATGTGCTGATGCAAAGTGACTCTCTGTGGAAAAACCCTCCTGGAAAATGCCCACATGCAGATGAAAACTGAGCCTTTAAACGTGTTTCAGTCTCATGATACAGTGGTGTGTGTTTTCATTTCTTTAGAAATCTGGAAATCATGTCTTTTTCATTCTGTGTGAGTCTCATGGTTCAGACTGCAGGTTTTCTCATGATTCAGTGACAGAGCTGAATCATTCAGAGAAACAAGTATGTCACTGTGAACTCAATGAGAGGGCAAAGGTCATCAAAACTAATTAAAATTGCTTTGAGAAATATATAGGATCTTTTAGAAATCCAAATTAATATGTGTAAAGAAAACGTATCAATACAGAGATTTTCATCACTTTAGTCCAATAATCCACCGCTGCTGTTGAGTCTCATATCAGTGTGTGTGAGTGAGTTTGTGTTCATCTGAGTGTGACGGAGGTTTTTGTACGACGCTTTCACTAGAATGAAGCACTGTGGTACACTTTTGGTGGAGGAACTAAACTGGTGATCAGAAGTAAGTCTTTCTTAAATTATCAAATACAAATGCATAATGTGTGTGTGTGTTTTAAATAGAGGTTTAAGGTTATTTAAGAATATTTGGCAACAATATTCTTAATTTATTACAAAAAAATGTTACTAAGAAGGCTTACTTACATTTCACATCTTATTTACTATAAAATGTAATTCTATTTTACCGATTGGTTGCACCAGTTGATGTATGTAATTATCAAATGTTGTCTGCTATATTATGTGTAAGTCATTTGGTTTATATTCCATATTTTTTACATTTCAAGCCATAGTTCATATATGTACTTACTGTTTTACATTAATACTTTCACACCTGATGTATGCTAACATTTCAATTTATTTTAATTAATGGCGATTTTTATGATTTTTCAATAATATCTTAATATATTTCAATTGGTGCATGGCACAAAAGCTGGATAATGTTGACAAAATGTAATTGTTGTCATCATGAGTCAAAAAGAAATTCAGTTGATAAACAGTTCAAATAAATTATTTAAACCATTAAGTTTATTTACAATTATGTTCATGAGAAAATATCCTGAATGTTGACTATTTTCAAAATAATAATATATTGAAACAACCAGTTATAAAAATATTGCGATACAATTATCAGAGATGTTTTATAAAATCAGTTTAAAACATTTGACTTATTTCATAAAGTAACAAAGTAGCATACATTTTTACAGTACATTATGTCTGCTTCAAAGTGATATATTTATGAATACAGTATGCATTATCTTATAATTGATCACTGTAAAAAATAAATATGTAAAATTTACAGTAAAAATGACAGCAGTGTTTGCCAGACTTCTTGTTCTTCACGTCCAAATATTTAACAGTATTGTACTGTAAAATTACATGAAATGTCCAGTTAGATTTATTATAGTTTTTCACTGTATATAGTAAAAGAACTTACAGTGAACTGATTAACAGATTTTCACTGTAGCATTTTTACAGTCTTCTATCATTAAAATAACTTTTTTATTGTATTTCTTTTACGGAGAACATTTCTGAATAGTAAATATTAATTCTTCTAATGGAGAATAATTGTAATCTTCATTCAGGATATTTGTGTTATATGAATGACAGCAGTGATGTGGAGTTACAGTAAAATGATGAACTGATTGTGATTTTCACAGTGAAGATTGCAGCTGCAGATGTGAATAATTGAGTGTTGTGTGTGTGTGTGTGTGTGTGTTTCAGCTGGTCCCGCAGTGAAGCCCTCCGTGTCTCTGCTGCCTCCCTCTTCTCTGCAGATCTCTGGAGACTCAGCCGCACTGCTCTGCCTGCTCAGCTCTTACTCTCCACAGGGGGCGCAGGTGAGCTGGACGCTGGACGGGTCAGAGGTCACCGAGGGGGTTCAGACCAGCGCAGAGAGCGAGCGGGACGGACGCTACAGCCGCAGCAGCGTCCTGAGCCTCAGCAAAGCACGCTGGGAAGACGGCGAGCGCTTCGTCTGCAGAGTAACACATGACGGAGCTGATCACGAGACCTCGTTCCTCAAGAGCTCCGAGTGCTGATGTTTCTCCAGTGAAGAGCAGCAGGATTCACAGCAGTCACCTGATTTACAGCTCAATACTCAAGCAGTCTTTCAATGTGCTGCCATTGCTGTTCATTCAATAAAGCTTCTGAACGCCTTACATTTGTGTCCGACTGCATCATTGATCAGTGTGTCCTTCCTTCAAAGTCCTTCACTAAAGTTTCAGCTGCTGTTGATGGATTGTAATAGTTGAGAACAGCTGCGTTTAGCAGTAAATGTGAACTGAAGCTCTTGGGGTTTGAACATGGTCTCTGGAGACGGAGCTGCTCTATTCTGAGACGATCAGAATCACTAAAGCTGCCAATGCAAATCTGATTTTCACCTCAAACTCACAGTTTCACTGTTTGATCGGTTAAACGCTCTAAACTGGATCAGTTTCACTTCTGCTCATGAGAAACGAGTTATGAGTAAGAAATTCATCATCAGCTTGAGATGAAATAGCTAAGTTAATGCTAGTTTAATGCTTTATAGTTTAATGTACAAAATGTAATGTACAAAACCAAAACAGCATATTGCACCATAATGTTTTGCTTTGCTATCAGTTTAACAGTCAGTTTGGAGTTCATGTGTAGTTCTGTGTTTGGTCTCTGTGTGTCAGTAGTGAGTGATAGTGTTTGAGCAGCTGCAGCATCAGTTCAGTCACTGTGACTCTGACTGACGGAGGTTTTTGTACCACTCTTTATCACTGTGTGAACACACCACCACTGTGGTAACTCTGACAGTAATAATGTCCAGCATCTTCAGTCTGGACTCCACTGATGGTCAAAGTGAAATCTCTGTTAGATCCACTGCCACTGAATCTAGATGGAGTTCCTGACTCAAGGCTTTTTGCATAACGAATAAGGAGTTTAGGAGCTTCTTCAGGTTTCTGTAGGTACCAGAATAAAGCATCATCCCCATCACTATATCTGTACACATCTGTGCTGGTTTTACAGTTGATCTTCACTGTTTGTTCTGGTTGAGCTGCTGTCGTTGAGGGACTCTGAGTGACGCTGATCTGTCCTCTACTCTCTGAAACACACAAGAAGAAAATCAACTCAAAACTTTCACAATATACTTGAAGAGATGAATTGATATCAAACTTGTGCTGCACAAACCTTGAGCAAACGCTGTGAGAGTCCAGATGAAGATGATGATGAAGGTCATGTTGATGAAGATTGTTGTGTGTGTCAGTGATGAAGTGTTCAACTCACAGCACTATAAACACTCTCAGAGCACTGAAGCATCTGATCAATATGCAAACACTCTCCAGATCATTTACCAGAAGACAGTCGCTCATTAACAGACACAAAATACAATTACTAAATTAATCTTTCAATATTTGATCTTCTCATAGCTAAGCTGTTCTTAATTGTATCAGATCATTCACTTCTGAATAAATCTTCAAAATCATCTTTAGTATATTATCCTGACTCTCTGCTGTGAGACTTTGAGAATATTTTTGACTGTAGTTGGAGAGAAACATGACTGTTAATTCCTAAATTTGATGTCAAATCCATGGATGTTCCTGCAGGTTTTTACAGACATGAGGATCATCACACACGTCTCTTTAGTAATAATGCAGACTGCATAAAGCACATGAAGTAAAGGAAGGTAATGTCTGCTGTGAGTGGATGTGTTTGTTGGAGACTCAGTTGATGTGTGTTTGTGCAGTTAGTGAAGCGTCCAGCAGGTTTTTGTTCAGCTGCTCTATTAGTTTGTATCACTGTGGTGGACTTTCGGCAGCGGCACCAAACTGGATGTTGGCAGTAAGTAAATCAATATTAATTATTATTAATACAACAACTGACTGTTAAACACTTTGTTGCTCTATAGAAAGGATGCACTTTTACACTTATTTCTATATTGTAATTTTATTTTTAGTTCACTTTGAATGTTTGGCAGTCAACATTAAAAACCGGTTTCACTTTATTTTGATGGTCCCTTTAACACATTCTGTTGACTATAAGTAATGTTGCACCTACATGTCTACTAACTCTCATTAGAGTATTAGTAGACTGTTAGGGTTAGAATAAGTTGACATGTACTTGCAAAGTTACTTATAGTCAGTAGAATGTCTGTTGGGAGACCATGACAATAAAGAGTTAGCAGATATTAAGCAGAAAGTCTTCTAATACTCTGATGAGAGTTAGTAGACACATAGGTGCAACATTACTTATTGTGAACAGATTGTTCAAAAGGGACCATCAAAATAAAGTGTTACCTAAAAACCATATGGTTTTCATTGTCACTGCATCTTTGTTTTCATCCAGTGAACTATAATAATTTCTGTTATTTCCTAATAACTTGATTTTATGAGTTTTCAGAGATTCAGCTCTTTTTTTCCTCATTGATAATTAAATTCTAAATGTTAAAAAGGTGCACTGAAATTAAATGTACATTAGTTTGTCATTTTGGCACCACTTTGATTTTACTTGAAAATTTAAGACAGGAATTAAACTTAAATGTTCAGATTAGTGTGTTGATTTCTCAGTAAAGCCTGCAGATATCTTTAAGTGGGAAATTCTGGTTGCTCAATCGTATTTTTTGTTAATATTTGATACGTTAATAATTTATAAGACATGCCAGATGAAAGTTATATTTTCTATTTTTTAAAACAAACTTTTGTACCCAATTTTCTCATGCTGTCATCAAATATTTCAACGAATTCCTGCACTAATTATGATTATTCACATCTGATCTTTGATGCCTTTACTAAAAGTGACTAGTACTGAAGTAGATAATGAAAATGACTCTTCAATTCAATAAATTTCACCAAACTTTCATTGCTTTGCTGATCACAGGCTTTGCAAAAATTCATTCAGGTGACTTGCAGTTTAATGCTGCAAAAATGACTAATAAAACTATCATTGTATTAATCGTTCATATATTTTTATGAACTTGATAGTAGAGAAATGCTTTCTTCTTCATTGAGTTGACTGTTGTGTGTTTGTCAGGCGTCACTCGTCCTAAATTGAGTGTCCTGCCGGCCTCCAGTGCAGAGATCTCCTCAAAGAAGACAGCGACACTGGTGTGTGTGGCCAGCAAGGGCTTCCCGTCAGACTGGAGCCTGAGCTGGAAGGTGGACGGGAGCAGCAGGTCTCAGGAGAGCAGCGCTGGGCTCCTGGAGAAGGACGGTCTGTACAGCTGGAGCAGCAGCCTGACTCTCTCTGAGCAGGAGTGGATGGAGAGCGTCTCAGTGAGCTGTGAGGCCACACGGAGCGGCCAGCCTGCGCTCACTGGACACGTGACGAGACAGCAGTGTTCAGAGTAGATCTGCTGCTCTTCTCACTCGTGTCTCACTGGAGACTAACAGCACATGAGCGACTCCTTCATTCTCCACAACCAGCTTCAGTCGCTCTCAGCTGCATCTGCTCTGCTTTGTGTGCTTCATACAAGACTATATGTGTGCTTTATCATTCAATTATGATTTTATTAAAATTCAGTAAATTGTAGCTTTATGTCTTTGTGTGTCATTTGTGTTTCAGCTCTTTCATTGGATCAGAGCTTTAGCTCACATTTGATCAATAAACTTCACGCAGTGAACCATGAAAAAACCTGCAGATTCATGATGAAACAAGAACATGCAGTCAAATTCATTCAATTATGATTTTATTAAAATTCAGTAAATTGTAGCTTTATGTCTTTGTGTGTCATTTGTGTTTCAGCTCTTTCATTGGATCAGAGCTTTAGCTCACATTTGATCAATAAACTTCACTCAGTGAACCATGAAAAAACCTGCAGATTCATGATGAAACAAGAACATGCGGTCAAATTCTGAACCTCACAGATAAAACTGTAGATAACTTTAATAAGATAAAGTGTTGTAGATTTAAGTATTATTGTGTTAAAAACTAAAATGAATGCTTTATATTTCATTCAATATTTATAAAAATATGCTCTATTGAGTGTGAGTGATAGTGTTTGAGCAGCTGCAGCATCAGTTCAGTCACTGTGACTCTGACTGCCGGAGGTTTTTGTACCACTCTTTATCACTGTGTGAACACACCACCACTGTGGTAACTCTGACAGTAATAATGTCCAGCATCTTCAGTCTGGACTCCACTGATGGTCAGAGTGAAATCACTGTTAGATCCACTGCCACTGAATCTAGATGCAGTTCCTGACTGGAGTGTGCTTGTATAATAAATCAGGAGTTTAGGAGCTTCTCCAGGTTTCTGTAAGTACCAGCTAAGAGCAGGTTTTCCATTATAACAGCAGTCTGGATTTCTGCTAAATGTACAGGTTACAGTGACTGATCGTCCAGTCTGAGCGAGCAGCACTGAGGGAGTTTGAGTCACTGTCACCTGCCCAATAGATTCTGTCAAATGAGAAAGATTAGAAATCATAAACACTTTTACAAACATATATCTTCACACCACTCATGAAAACAACAAGTAAACTTATCTTTACTGACACAAACCTCGACATAATGCTGCCAGCGTCCAGATCAATATGGGGATGAAAGTCATTTTTGTTGGTAGTAGGTTCAGTTCTAGTGAAAAGCAGCTGTTGATCATGTTTGATGTGTGACAGAGTTATAAACACATGCAGAGCACTGAAGCGTGTGTCGCTCATGTAAAACACACTCTCTATGCAAACACTGCAGTAGTGAACAGTTTGAAGTTAGTTTAATGTGCTTTTTCATTGAACAGGAAAATAAACTGAGGTCACTGGAAGCCTCATGGACAGATGTGCTTTTGTGTTTGCTATATAACTGATCATATTTTTTTTAAATGAAACTCCTAATATCTGAACCAAGCAAACATAGTTTCATATGAAAGGCACAGACTGATTCAATAATTCATGACAGTATATTCATAATATGAGTGTGTGCTTGTGTAGGACCTTAAAGTGATGTCTAGTGGTTCCACGCAAGCTGTAAGAACTAAATAAAGTACTATATCAATTGTGAAGTCAAACTAACTAACTACTTGTAATGATTGTGTGCGGGGGGATTGGGGAAGTTAGGCAATGTGATGTAGGGACTATTTTACACCAGGGTTACACCTCTATCTTTCTGAGAAAGACTCTGGGGTTTATATCAACCACAAGTGTGTCTTTTTACAGTACAGTTTATTAACACCATACTGGGGCATTAGGACCCACTCAGTGCACAAGATGAGCTCCACCTGCTGGCCTCACTAACACCTCTTCCAGCAGCAACCTGGTCTTCCCCGAAAGTCTCCCATCCAAGTACTGACCAGACTCAACCTTGCGTAGCTTCAGTGGGTGTGCAGGAGAAAGCTGCAGGTTGATGCTGCTGGCTTGTGTAGCAGGTCTCCTCATACGTCTCGCCCAGAGCATTCAAAGACTAGACCAGCGTCACCATCTTTTACACATATGTGTAGTCAAGACCAGACCAAATCCAACACCAAGACCATTCAATAGCCACACCGCACAATCCTCAGTGTTGAAAGTACTGCTCAGTGTTTATTTGTCCGCACTAGTCATGGATGAGTTTTGTACTATGGTGGCACCCAGCATGCATTGCAGCATGAAGCTTTTTTGTTATTGTAACTATTGTTGAGATTCTTATGCTGATTCTTGATGTCTTTGTGTTGCTGTGTTGTGAAGTCAGTTGTAGATGTTGTGTTTGAACTTGTTTCTTTAGTTGTTTCTCTTTTTATTTCAGTGAATCTGTTTGTTAGCAGCAAGTGTTTGTGACTAATAATCATCACTCGATTAATCACGTAATTATCACAATATCTTCAACAGTGCTCCACTGTTACTTTTAATGCTCTGAGCGTGGACTCATAACCACTGAGCAGTGCTACTTTAACACTGGGGATTTTGCTGTTTATGTTGTTGTATGTGGGTTTAACAGTCATTATGAGCTTTTATAAGCTGTCAGACTGTTGACTAGCAGTTAAACTCTGAACATTCAGTAAGTGTGTCGTGTGATTCTTGATGTATTTTAAGCGTGCTTAGTGAAGTGCTCAGGCATTTATATTCAGCTGCTCTGTTGGTTTGTTTCACTACCATTCTCTTTGAATGTGTCAAATCATGTTTGTTGATGACGATGAAGGACAACATCACATGATTGTTTTTTTCTGCTGAACTCTGAGCACTGGACACTCCTTACTCACATGTTTGGAGTTCATGTGTAGTTGCTGTGTTTGGTCTCTGTGTGTCAGTAGTGAGTGATAGTGTTTGAGCAGCTGCAGCATCAGTTCAGTCACTGTGACTCTGACTGACGGAGGTTTTTGTACCACTCTTTATCACTGTGTGAACACACCACCACTGTGGTAACTCTGACAGTAATAATGTCCAGCATCTTCAGTCTGGACTCCACTGATGGTCAGAGTATAATCACTGTGAGATCCACTGCCACTGAATCTAGATGCAGTTCCTGACTGGAGGGTGTTAACCCAATAAATCAGGCGTTTAGGAGCTTCTCCAGGTTTCTGTAAGTACCAGCTGAGTAAGTACACTGAATAAGTTGTACTTCTGTACACATCTGTGCTGGTTCTACAGTTGATCTTCACTGTTTGTTCTGGTTGAGCTGCTGTCGTTGAGGGACTCTGAGTGACGCTGATCTGTCCTCTACTCTCTGAAACACACAACAAGAAGAAAATCAACTCAAAACTTTCACAATATACTTGAAGAGATGAATTGATATCAAACTTGTGCTGCACAAACCTTGAGCAAACGCTGTGAGAGTCCAGATGAAGATGATGATGAAGGTCATGTTGATGAAGATTGTTGTGTGTGTCAGTGATGGTGTTAAACTCACAGCACTATAAACACTCTCAGAGCACTGAAGCATCTGATCAATATGCAAATGAACTGATCCTGTATTTAAATGAGCTTCTAAATGAAGTCTGCTCATTCATTTCATCCTGTCAGTTATTGTATCTGCACATCACACTGTCTAATCTTTGTTTTTTACAATTATTTTGACTGGTTATCATCTGTCGGTTTATTACAGGATTGGAGTATAATTATGGATTTATTAATAACTTCAAACATTTTGATTATTCAAGGTTTTTGTACATTAATTACACATGTTTTTCAGCTCAGTTGGTTTGAGGGACCTTAAGAAACATCTCTATAGACAGCAGTGATGCATACTGGCTTTTATGGTGCATTGTGGGAATGTTTTGAGCGTGAGCGTTATGTAATCCCTGAGTAGTGCACTGACTAGTGAACTAAGGAGCTGATTGAGACACACTCTTACTGACTGACTCACATGTGAACATTTTCATGCTCAAATCATGGTTTATCAATAAGTGTGAACTTAAAAGAAAATAACATAAAAATTACAGCCAATTCAAACCACATGAAAAAAAGACCCCTGATGGTGTAAAATGTGTAAAGATGAAATGTTTAAATAAATAATGATAAATACCTATTTTAAAAAATTCCAAAATGTCAGCAGCATTACAATTCAGTCCCATGGACATATTTTCGCCTTTTATGCCTCATGATTTGTACTTTTGCACTGATTTTAATGATGAAGGTTGACGACTAAAAAGAACAAATTAAAGTCACTCCGGTCCAGAGACTGTATTTACATTCTCATTCAAACATTTAGGGTCATTATGTTTTTTAATAAAGGATTTTTTTTAAAGAAGTCTCTTAAGCTGCATTAAATTGATCAAAACTACAGGAAAACTAATACTGTGAAATATTATTACAATTTTACAGAATTGTTTTCTATTAGAATCTATTGTAAAATGTAATTTATTTCTGTGATGCTCAGCTGAATTTTCAGCATCATTACTCCAGTCTTCAGTGTCACATGATCTTCAGAAATCATTCTAATATTATTATTTGCTGCTCAATAAATATTTCTGATTATTATCAATGTTGAAAACAGTTGTGCTGCTGAATATTTTTGTGGAAACTGTGATACATTTTATTTTTTAGGATTCTTTGATGAATAGAAAGTTCAAAAGAGCAGCATTTATTTGACAGAAATCTTTTGTAACATTATAAATGTCTTTTGATCAATTTAATGCGTCTTTGCTGAATGAAATATTACTTTCTTTCAAAAGATAAAAAATATATTGCCCTATATTAAAAGTGATATTTCCATATGTTACCCATGAGGTGATACATAATTTTCACATACGTATATTCTCTGGATAGATGAAGATATAAGTTTATAACACATGTTAAACCCTCATAGCAAAAGTTCTATATGTCCATATGTTAATAATATCTATGTGATGATTTTTTCTGTGGTATATGTAGCAATCATATATGTGAACATATGCAATTTTATTAAAACAACATATAGACAAAAAATCTGTATGTTTATATATGGTTTGTAATATATATATATATATATATATATATATATATTAAAATACATGTCTTATCTTTCAGATTTGCTTATATAATATCCACATGTATTGTAGCATGGATATGCATGTACATGACACATACATCCAAAAATGTTTTAAACATACATAAACATACATATGTGTATGGAAATTTAATACATGTACGTGCATATGTTACATTTGTGTACGGTTGATCTCAAAGGTTTCAACAGTAGTGTACAGTAACTGAGATCGATCGCTGGTTTTACAGTCGATGGGAGAAACTGGGACACAATATGAGGGTTTTAGTATCATAAATCAGCAGAGCCACTGTCTGGTCTTTATGTGAAGCATTTGCTGAACCAACCTGAAAGAGACAGTTTGAAAAGCTATGAAACAATGTTTACGTATCATTCATGTCAGATTTTATTGCTGATTTGAAATATGTTATTGAACTGTGAGTTTCTGTATTGAATTTAAGTAGCCTAGAGTTTTGTCATTCATCATTCATTATAGCAGCTGTAGCTGCGTGACTGAAAACAGCTGCATGTGTTTGTAAGAGAGCTGTTGAGCTTCAATCTCCATCATGTGACAGATCTATAAGAGCACAATGAATCAAATCAAAACCTCAAAGCTGTGCAGATTCAGTCAGTCCAGATTCCAGCATTACTCTTCTCCCTACAGAGAGTCAGAATATGAGGAGAAAGAGCAAAAACAACAGTTTCAGATCCTCCTTTGAGCAGCTGCAGCATCAGTTCAGTCACTGTGACTCTGACTGACGGAGGTTTTTGTACCACTCTTTATCACTGTGTGAACACACCACCACTGTGGTAACTCTGACAGTAATAATGTCCAGCATCTTCAGTCTGGACTCCACTGATGGTCAGAGTGAAATCAGTTCCACCTTGTTCTCCATTCCCACTGAATCGACTGAAACTGGTACCATAGCGATCGTTTACTCCAGTAATGATGAGTTTAGGAGTTTCTCCAGGTTTCTGCTGATACCAAGCTAAACCCCAGCCACTTATTTTAGGATCAGTTTTACACTCTATAGTGGCGTCTTGTCCTTCAGAAACAGTCACAGCTTCAGGCTGAGTCACAGTGATTCCTCTGGATGCTGCTGACAACAACATTATATGTGTTCAATCAAATGAAATGAACATTAAAGAGTCAAAAATGAGCATCTTTCACTTCTGTTACCTGGAATAAAAG